CTGTCAGGCTATTCTTTGAAGGAGAACTCCCTTTTGGTCCCTGGCACTGTCAGGCTATTCTTTGAAGGAGAACTCCCTTTTGGTCCCTGGCACTGGGTGTTCTGGTTCACATCTGTAATCCCAGCTACTTGGGAGGCTGAGGCAGGAGGATCTAAAGTTTGAGGTCAGCCTGGGCAATTTAGCTAGATCCTGTATCAAAATAAAAATTTAAAAAGGGTCTTGGGATGTAGCTCAGTGGTAGAGCACTTGCCTAGCATTCTTGAGGCTCTGGGTTCAATTATGCAAGAAATAAGAAAAAGAAAGGGTCGCCTATTTGCAGCAGGCCTGCAAGTTGGGCTAGTGTGGAAGGAAGACAGGAAGGGCCAGCTTGGGGGTAGCATGCTCAGCTGTGGAGCAGGAGTTCAAGACCAAAGGGATGGGGTGGCCACTGAGTCTTGAGCCCCTGTTGGGAGGTGTACGGTGCCTCCCCACCTCAGTCTCAGGCTTGCCTCTCATTCCAGTGGGCAGACCTTGATTGCGGCAGTCAGTGTGCAGCCCCTGGCTCGCGGGGGAGGAGGGACATAGCAGGACTGCAAAAGACAGGGTCACTGAATGAGATGTGCTTGGAGCAGGGGTGCAGGGGTAGCTAGGCTGGGCTCTGCACAGCCCTACCCACCCAGGCAGTTGTGCAAGCCGCTGTGGCTCTCTGTCCTGTCCCTTCTCCCCTCCTCCCCACCTGCCTGCTGCTTCTCTTCTTCCCTTCACTGGGTAAACTGCTCTTCTTCCTCTTGTCCTGGTCCTTCAGCAGGCTTCCTGATTCCTGAATTCCAGGCATGTGCCTCGGCTTCTGCACCAAGGAGGAGGACATAGTGTGCCTGTTGCCAAGGGAGAGGCTCTTCTGGACAACCCATTCGGGGAAGAGCTGTGCTTCTTACCTGGGGTCCCAGTGCCCAGCATCCTTATCGGTGGCTCCACAGGTGCCTGTGCTGGCATTGTGCTTTTCCACCCCTGTGTTTGAGCACCACTGGGCAGGGAGAAGCAGTGGGCTGGGTGGGGCGGGCTGGGGTGGCTGGCTGACCTGCCCATCCAGTTTGCACAGACTCAGCCAGCACAGGAGGGGCCTCGGTGGGCAGAGCCTGGAAACGGATCTGGAGCAGCGCTCACCAGCCTTCAGAGGCAGGTCCATGGGGAACATTCCCTAAGGTCCAGAGTCACTGTAGTGGAGGTTTTGGTCAACACTACACAAGTTGGTACACCAGAGTATTGTCTACATGGCCAAAAGTGGGGGAAGAAAAGCTAGAAAAGGAGAAGGTCTAGGCTTGGGCCAGGCCTAATGCCCTAATACTACATCAGAGAGACCACAGAATGCCCCAGGGGCCTGGCATGGGGCTGGAGAGGCCACTGTGGAGACTGACCCTAGTGTCCAGGGCTCTGTGCCACAAAGCAGGTGTCCCCTCTTTCCGTAATTGCACTGGGGGACCTGGGCCTGGTTTCTGAGCCTCCTGTAGTGGGCACCATCTCTGTCGGGGTCTGGTGCCAGGGCTCCTGAAGCCCTTCGTGCCAGGTGTGGCACGTGCCCTTGGCCTTCGTATTCCTGCTGACGGCTGATGGCTGTGGCTTGGTGCAGACTCTCACCTCAGGACCCTCAGGGTCCTGCCTCCTGCACACTGTTGAGTCCTCAGGCCCACTCCTGGGTCTCATGCAGGCAGCAGAGCAGCCCCTTGCCCTGGGCCAGGGAAAACATGCTGACGAGAAGGGAGTAGAACCTTGACCCTAATTTGGGTTTTATTTCTGGGCCTGAATCCAAGGTGCATTTTTGTGCCCAAGGGGAACGAGTTTGTGGGACCAGTGCCAGCAGGGCTGCAGTGCCAGGCAGGGTGATCTGGGGTTTGAGAGTACAAGGAGGATGAGGCAGTCTCCTGGCTCTCGTGCTCCCACCCTCCTTACCCACCTCTGCAGCGAGGAGAGGCAAGGGGCTTGTGGAGTCCTGCACACTGGCCTGCGAAGCGTCTGGGCCGGGGAGGCCCTGCTGCTCTGGCCCTGGGCTGTGGGTCAGGGGAAGGAAAGGTGTCCTGCTGCACACTGCCTGTCCACACACTGCCAGGACCATTTCCTCTTCCCCCCCCTTTTTTTTTTTAATGGTGCTGGAGATTGAGCCCAGAGCCTTTCTTGTGCGTGCCTGCAAACCCTCTGCCGCTGAGCTAGACCCCAGCCTATCCCTTTTCAGGGGAAAACCTCCAGGTCTTTCAGGCCCCGAGCTCTGGGTTGCCTGAGCCTGTGGGTGTCTGCCTTTCTGGCATGCTGGTTGGGAAGTGGAGATCCCAGGATGCTCAGAGCCTCCCAACCTTGCTCCTGCCCTCTTGCCTCCCATGGTGGGGTCACAGTCAAGTTTACCATTACAAAGCACCTCAGATGGGGTGAGCTGAAAACAAATTTATTCTCTCCTCTGGAGGGCAGAGGGTGCACTCGCTGGCAGTGGGGCCCTGCATGTTCCCAGAGGGTTCTTCCTGCCTCTCCCAGGTTCTTCCTGCCTCTCCCAGGTTCTCACCAGGTTCTCCTGGTGGGCCCAGGAGTTCTTGGCTTGTAGATGCATCATGTCTGATCTTCTCCCCTTGTTCTCCCCTTCCAAGGACACTTGTCACTGAGCTCAGGGCAATCAGCTAATCCAGGACAATCTTATCTTGAGATCTTTAACTTTCTATTTGCAAAGAACCTTTCTCCAAAATGATCATGCTCAGAGGTTTCAGTGGACACACCCTTGGGGCCACCATGCAGTCTGCCTGGGGTTGGAGGGGCCTGCAGAGAAACCCAAAGGGGCAGTTAGGGTTTTCTAAAAGGCTCAGAGGTTGGTGACACCCTTTTTGGGATGTGACATGAACTGCCTAGGGTGGCAGCAAGCACTGCCAAACCTGCCCTGCTGGGGGGCACTGGAGCCTGTCACGGCCACTGGGCCTGCAGGTGGCTCGGAGCAACTTTACGTCCTTGTGTCAACCTCTGGAGGAGTGGGCCTGGGCATTGTGGCCATGTGGCCTCTGTGCTGGGGTAGCCTCAAGGATGGTGGGGGAATCATGAGCACTGGACACCAACTTACTGAATCCATTGGCTTTGAAAATCCAACCTGGGGCCTTAGCTCAAAACCCACTTAAATACTTTGTCCCTGGAACAGGAAGGCACGGCCATAATCTCCTGCCCCTGAGGACATGGTAAGGTGGACAGCTTGGTTTGGGGCCTGCAGAGAGCAGCCTCATTCTTTGACTGTCCTGGCCCCTTGTGCAGGGCCAGACCCTGAGGGGCAAAGCCATGCCTGTTGACCAATGGCCTGGGCCTGGACACCCTGCAGGAAGAAGCACAGGGTGGGCATCAGGTGGTGTGGGAAACCTAGATTTCAACATGGCTCTACTCATCTCTGACAGGTGACACTGGCAAAGTAGCCATGGCTGTGGTCCGGGGTCCCTGGAGCCACAGGACAGTGGCAGGTGCATGGTATAGATGCACATGTGGGCAGGCCGCTCTTGCTCACCTCCTTGGAGATGGGTTGGAGTTGGAACCGGTCTTGTGTCTTCCATCCCTCGTTCCCGCCAGGCCAGGCTGCCTGCTTGCTCTTCTCTGATTGAGTTCTCCCTTCTCCCTTTGGCCGCTGCTGAACCCAGGTCTGAGCCAGATGGGTCCCCGTCCTGGAAACATGGTGGTGCTTTTAGTATTTTTTCTGCATGAAAGAACGGTATCGGTTGTTCTTGCTCTTGTGACTCTGAGTTTGGGGCTGAGGGTTCTAGGTTCTCTGCTGTCACAGAGAAAAGTGAGAACGAACTGGTTTCATTTTCTGATTGCTCTTTCCCTGCTTGGACCACGTCTGTGTGTGTGGGTGAGGTGGGTGCCGCGGGTGCCTGTGCATTACAGGTGCGTTTCTTGGTGCTGCTCTGCCCTCTGCAGGACACTGGCCTCATTTCAGTAAGGCTTGGGGTGGTGCTTCCCGCTATGGAAAGCGGGGACAAGTCTGCAGAGCGGGGCGCTTCAGTGTCAGGGCGCTGACTCACTGGCCTTGACGTGAGTGCACGCCCACACAGAGCTTCTGAAGTAGTCATGGCCGGTCCTCCTTGGTGACCTGGAGCCGTGACATGGGGAAGAATGGAAGAAAGGAGAGAGGAGGGGGAGTGCTGGGGACGGGCTCGGGGGGATGCAGCCCCGTAACGCCGCCCTCCCTCTCTGGCCGGTGGAGCTGCCATCCTGTTCCTTCCGCACCCAGCTCCATGTGGGGCGTCTGTTCTCAGGGGTTCCGCTGCTGGCCCAAGCCTGCAAGCCCCTCCTCCTAAGGCCCCAGGAAGGCTGACCTTGTGGCCTCCTGTGAGAGCCACCAAGCACCTGGCAAAGAGTCCCCTTTGGGTGGCTTGAGGAGCATGGTGGCCCTCCCAGTGACCAGTGTGTGTGTGCGAATGAGGCGCAGGAGGGGGCCAGCACTGGGCAGAGATCCTGCTGAGCAGGTCAGGAAGAGCAGCAGCGTACAGAGGGAGGTGCAGCAGGACTGGAGCTGGAACCCGCAGCATTTGCTCTGCTGCCTTCGGGTGGACAGGCCCGAGGCCGCACTGAGTATCCCATACTGGGCTGGGAATACCCTTTTGGCAGCCTCTGGACAGCTCAGCAGCCCCAGCTGTCTGGCCATCTGATCTCTTCTAAGCCAGGGGAGTGGCAGACAGGCTGGTGAGTGGCGGGAGGAGGGGGGCTTCCTACCAGCCTGGTTCTCTGTGACCCCCTGTTGCCTAGAAGAACTGTGGCTCTTGAGTGACCCAACGGCAAGATGGGCTGACCATGGTCAGCCCCTAGGTGTTGCCAGGAGCTTGGGGTGAGACCCTTGCCTTAGGGCTTTGCAGGGCGGCCCAGTACCTGGGAGACCCTGGACTCCACTGCCCATGGTCCTAGCCGTGAGTGCTGTGGGCACAGAAGTGGGTGCTGGGGGCTTGTGGGGGCAGAGCTGTGACTGCAGAGGCGGGGCACACACGTGGGCAGAGGCAACTGGGGGGCTGGGAGTGAGCTGGGGAGGTGGGAGACCCTCTGGGGAACACAGGCTGTCTCCAGAAGTTCCCGTGGAGATCAGGATGAGGATGTGCCTTGGCTGGATTGTAGGCAGCCTCAGGGACCTGGGCCTGGGCCCTGAGGTTGCTCAGATGACTGACCTCCTCTCCACCCCTAGAAGGCTTTGAGTGAGGGTGGGCTGGCCCCTGGAGGAACTGTGCTGGAATATTCCGGAGCTTCCCCCTGCTCCTGCATTCTGAGTCACTCTGCCTCTCCTGGGAGGAGGGATCTGAGCTGCTGCTTCAAGGCAGCGTCTCTCGTGTCTGCCTCGCTGCTAGGGGAGGGTTGAAGACACAGGGAGGAAGGCATCACTGCTGGGAGTGGGGGCCACCTGCCCACAGCAGCGCTAGCCTGCGTCACTGCCAAGTGGGGGTTGCTTGGTGGCCATGGGGCCGGGGTACTGGGGCTGCTGTGGCAGGAGGAGGAGCTTGTATTGTGCAGCTGGGTGGAAGGAGGGGGAGGAACGGAGAGCCTCTGGCTTCCCTGTTTAGATTCGAAGGCTGGGAGTGCCCCTCCTCCTGGGTGCACCTGAGCCGTGTTGCTATGCAGTTCCGGGCAGTAGAGGGTTGAGAGCCTTTCCAGGTCCTGCCTGGGCCCTGCCTGGGCTGCTTTGGGCATTGGGGCAGAAAGTCTGAGCAGCTTCCTCTCCTGGCAAGGCAGCCTGTGTCCGACATGCACACGACATGCACACGACATGCACACAGCTACAGATCTCGCCCAGCCACAGGCAGGGACCCCCTGCTGCAGTTCAGGCACCATCCGTGTTGAGGGGCAGAGGCTGCCCACTGCAGGTCTCCCAGGGAGCGCCCACTGTGGCGGCAGTGAATCTCCGCCTCCTGGGGCACTGAGCCTCCCAGTGCTCGGCCAGGCCTTCCTCAGCTGGACCAACTCTGGGTGCTGGAGCTTCATC